CACTCACCTCAGCCTCCCAAAGGCGTGGGATTACAGGCTGAGCCACTGAGCCCAGCTGCCCGGCCATTCTTAATGATAAAAGCTCTCGTGTTACTTAGACCTCCTGGAGAGCTTAAGGCTTGAAAATATTGAAAAAAAAATATATGTTTATGACAAGGCTTCTTTAGAAAATGCAACTGTGGTTTAGTCTATTAGAAAATTCTAGTAACATAAGACCACAAATGTAAGTCAAGAGAAAAATTCATCATCTCAATAGACTTACTAGTAATTGGGTGAAATTCTATTCTAGATTAAAAAAAAAAACCACAAAATGAAAGCATAATTCCTTAATATGGTAAAAACTCCCAAATCAATAGTCAGTGGTGTGAACAGAATCCTGTAAAAGGCAGATACATGATGAACCAAGAGCAATCACACCCAGCTTGCAACTATTTTTTAAAATTAACTTCTTTTTAGAACAGTTTTAGATTTACAGAATGATTGTGGAGATAGTATAGAGTTCCTGTATACCCCACACCTGGTTTTCTCTATTGTTATTTTGAGTCCAGGTCTCACTCCTAACACCAGGATTCATCAGAAAAAACAAGCTCCTGGCTTTTTTTTTAATTTTTAAATTTTTTTGAGTCAGTGTCTCACTCTGCCACCCAGTCTGGAGTGCAGCATCACGGCTCACCGCAGCCTCGACCACCTGGGCTCAGGTGACCCTTCCGCCTCAGTAGATGGGACTGCCAAGTAGGTGGGACTCCAGGCGTGCACCATCACTCCTGGCCAATGTTGTTATTTTTTGTAGAGATAAGGTCTCGCTATATTGCCCAAACTGGTTTTGAACCCCTGGGCTCAAGCGATCCTCCCGCTTCGGCCTCTCAAAGTGCTGGGATTAAAGGCATGAGCCACCGTGTCTGGCCTTCTCTATTTTTGTAATATCTTACAGTGGTATGGTACACGTCACAACTAATAAGCCAATATAGAACATTATTAATCATTTTCCACTTAGGTTATTCATCTGAAGGAAAGATTATGGGTGAGTTTTCAAAGAAATTCAAATCTCCACCAAAAAAATCAAATAACTGATTTCACTATTAACGGGGACAACAGTGCTCCACAGGGATGTCGCCTAGGCTGGGGCGTAGACCTGGGACTTCGAAGCAGACTCCTCTCTACAGGTTGTCTCAACCCAAGGCAGTGATGATGATTCATAAAAAAGGGCCCCAGGGCCAGGGTCCGTGGCTCAGCCTGTAATCCTGCACCTTGGGAGGCTGAGGTGAGTGGATTGCCTGAACCTGTGGGTTGAAGACCAGCCCGGGCAACTTGGCGAGACCTCATCTCTACAATAAATAAATAAATCAGCCAGGTGTGGTAGCGTGCACCTGTAGTTCCGGCTACTTGGAAGGCTGAGGTGGAAAGATCGCCAGAGCCCAGCAGGTCAACGCTGGGGTGGCTGTGAGTGTGCCACTGCACTCCAGCCTGGGCAATGGAGTGAAACTCCAACTCAAAATAAATAAATGGGCGCCAGGGCCAGGTGTGACGGTTCACACCTGTAATCCTAGCACTTTGGGAGGCTGAGGCAAGAGGATTGCCTAAGCCCCGGCGTTTGAGACCAGCCTGGGCAAATTGGCAAGACCTCGTCTCTACAATAAGTTAAAAAATTAGCCAGGTGTGGTGGTGCACACCTGTAATTCCAGCTACTTAGAAGGCTGAGGTGGAAGAATCGCCTGAGTCTAGTAGGTCCAGGCTCTGGTGGCCATGAGTGTGCCACCGCACTCCAGCCTGGACAACAGAGGGAGACTCTAACTCAAAAAAAAAAAGGCAGCAGAAGCCAGTTCCCTCCCTTTCACCAAGTACTTAACACCCACCGAGTGTCAGTCGCGTGATTTCCCTCCTGTGCCAGGCACTGTGGAGCACACAAGGGTGTCTGTGGCATCTGCTGACTGTTGTGAAACAGGCAAATGGCCCAGCTTTAAAGAGATCAGCAGCCATTGCTACTTCTAACTGGGATGAGTACATTGTACAAATGCACTTGAACTCTCAGTGATCCAGAATACAGCCTGATCAGGCAGCCCTAACAGGCCTCAGTTTCATACCCCCATGGGGCCTCCCTCTACCTTCCATGAGTCAAGATGGTCCCTGCAAGGACATAAGATGGAGTTGATATACCCAGTGCACAGCCATTTTAACATTGCTTAGCTTTGTCGTGTTTCTCTAGCAGTTCACTTTACCCTCTAATCACTAGCCAAGGATAGGACCAGTTTCTCAGAGGTAGCTATTGGTGAGACCTCATCTCTACAATAAATCAAAAAATTAGCCAGGCGTGGTAGCGCACGCCTGTAGTTCCAGCTACTTGGAAGGCTGAGGCGGAAGGATCACAGGAGCCCAGCAGGTCGAGGCTATGGTGGCCCCGCCACTGCATTCCAGTCTGGGCGACAGAGTGAGACTCCAATTCAAAAAAAAAAAAAAAAGACAATCGTTTTACACTCTGCCCTCCCCCATCTTGTTTTGTACTAATTAGCTTTTTATATTCCAAGCATAAGAAA